ACTAAATTACACGGTTGCTACCACAACATTTGCTTTGTGTCTTACCTACTCGTCAGCTACAGCAACTCCTTCAGGCCCAAACCTTGAGCTGCTTAGTGCTTGTGCAGCAGCAGTGTGTTTCAGCCTTTTTTCTTTTTTTTTTTTTTTTTTTTTTTTGCCAGAAAAGGCATGCAGGGGTCACTCAAGATCAGGAAAAGAACTTCCTGCCCTGGCGGAAGGCCAGGATGTTTTATTGCACTCAATGAAAGCTTGTTTGCAGCGAGCGTTGTGTCAACAGGGAAAGTCCTGTGGCCTGAAGAGTTGGTCTAAACATCTGCTGCTGCTTCAACCTTCTGATGCACATATGACCAAATCAGATAGTAAACTAAAGAGACTTGAGATTTACCGACAGTTTAAAAAAAAGTTCATTTTTTTACTATTTAGATGACGAATTACATTCAGTAATATGCAAAGTTATACATACTATGGACATTTTACATATATTTTTACTTTAAAAGTTCTTAAAGTGATTTTTTTTAGTGCTTATTTTAGTCAGTCTTAATTCTTAAACATGTTCACGTTACATCAGCTAAGAATGTCAAACTGCATTTTATTTTATTAAAAAAAAAGTATCACATAAAGTGGGGGAGAAAAAAAAAATTGATTTCAGACCCCTTCTACTTTGTGATCCCTAAATTAAATCTAAATTGCTGTTGCAGTGACGCTTGTGCGTCACAAAACGGGTGTAAATACTTTCCGAATAAACTGTTAACGTTAAGCTTTGCTCTTTTGTTCTGGCCAGCAGCTAATCAGTTTGGAGCCAGACTCTGTTGTCTATCTGCTTTGATTATCCGACTAATCTTTCCGCAAAGATGGGGGATTACCATTTTCCTCTCCCCATAGCCGGCACAACCCCGAGTTATTTATCCGCCGCGTGTGTGTGACATGTGTTTAAGCAGCCTCGCTCGTCTGCTGTTTTTAATTGATCGACGGTTCCATTAGTCCGTGTGTAGTCCAGATGAGGCCAACCGGAGGTCTCCGAGGAGGAAGAGGAGGCGTGAGCACGGGAAGTCGAGTGGGGAAATGAGGTGAGTCATCTCTGAGTGATGTGCAAACAGTCTGTCAATCGATACCACCAGTTAGTCATGTGCACTGACTCTGCAACTAGGAGGTTTATTCAGAAGGCCTGCAGAATAACTGTTGGTCATAAATCCCCCCCCCAAAAAACAGTGAGATTGATCATTCTTGTCCTGTTTTTTGGTGATTTCCTGGCCTCTTTGTGAGCAACACCGGGAGTCATCCTGGTCTGGCAGACTCAGAACTATACTCCTCCCACATCGGGACGTAAAACAGGAAGCGCCGGCTGGTAAATGGATGGGACTGTTTCTGGAGCAACAAAGGGACGTAAAAGCTCCTTGCGGTACGCTATCCCCTGTGGCTTATATTTCACCTCGTAAACTGGAAGAGACTGGAGGAAGGGCACTGGTGGTGAAATGAATGATGAGATAAACTGGGACCTTTTGTTTATGCTTCTCCTCTGGGGGGAAACAAGACACACATATACTGCAGTTATTGACTGATTGATTGTGTAGTTCCCTTAGGACCAAGGGAACCTTATAAACTATTGTTGTCTTCATGAAATTGTGTACCATTAAAATATTTTGTTCATGTTGTGTACGACTCTGTACCAATTAGGTTTCACAGCAGTAAGCACATGATTGGGATTCTGTCTTTGTCAACTATGTAAAATGCAGAGCGACATAATGTGTGTGAGTAGTACACGCTTCAAACTGTAATGTTAGACAAGAAGATGATTTTAAAAATGAGATCACTACTTTGAAAGTCAGTGACAGTACAAAGTAAAATCTTTTCACTTTGTTTTGGCTTTGTGAATCTACAAAATGAAGGTGTCAATAATGGCGTGAGACCATTTTCTTCTCTGCTACCACAAGAGGGCGATACAAACGCACCTTTGATTGCAAACAGAGCCAGTTGGCTTGGTTGGATGGGGTTGGATGGGGCCCCAACCACAGGAGAGTATCCAAACACTGAACTCAAGCAAAAGTAGCACTACTTCAACAAATTTTTACTCAACTAAAAGTAAATAGTAAACATCCAAGAGACAACTCAAGTGTTTTCTGAGAATTGAAAATAGGTCTTGTACATTATTATGGGGTAATTTTAGCTTTACACCTTACAGATATGAAGTTAAACAGATCGACCTGTTTAACTTCACGTTGCAGCACCTCAGCTGGGTTTCATGTCCGGACTTTGATTTAGCCACTTCAAAAGCTGAGTCTAAAAGTCTTTGAGATCATCAATGTTTTGGTTCCTTTTTTAGAAAATGGGACATTTCTTTGTGTTCTTTTCAGTCATTGTTAGTTTACACTTTTACACTGTCAAACACCACATGAATACCCTCTTCATCCAGTGTTTTTCCTCATTGTTGAATCTGGAATACTGACCTTATTTAAAAGCAAGTGAGGTCTGGAGTCCTTTTGTGACCTCTTAAATGAGTCAGCAATGCACTTTTGAAGTCATTGTAGTCGGCTCGCCACTCCCATGAAGCTTCAGCAATGCTTCATCCATTTGTGGATGATGACTCTCTCTGGGACTCACTACAGCCCCAAAGCCTTAGAAATGGCTCTGTAATTGATGTCTGATTTTTGTTTGTTATAAGGCTGATGAACCCTACTTAATTATATTTTAGATGTTCTATGATTTTTGGGTAACACTTTATTTGAAGGGGGTTGCATAAGACTGTCATGACACTTTCATAAACATGACATAACACCTGTCATGAACATGAATAAGTCTTCATGAATATTTATGACTGTTGTCATAAAGCGTCATTCTGTAAATTATGACACTTTTAATACAAAGTTGACATTATTCAAAATGTCTTTATGACAACTTGACATTAACCAAGAAATCATTACTGATATAAATTTGATATAAAAGTATTACTGATTGCACTTTAAAAATTAGGTAACTTTATGTTATTAAAGGTAAAGTTTAAACAGTAATGATTTCCTGGTTAATTGCAAGTTGTCATAACAACGACATTTTGAATAATGTCAACTTTGTATTAAAAGTGTCATAATTTACCGAATGACGCTTTATGACAACAGGCATAAATATTTATGAAGGCTTATGAAAGTGTCATGACAGTCTTATTCAACCCCCTTCAAATAAAGTGTTACCCAATTTGGTTTTGGTTTTGCAAGTCAGGCTTAAATGTGGCTTGTAAAATTTTGTCAGCTTCCAAAAGAATGTGGGTAATCACAATTAACTTAGAATTTAATAAAGGGGTTTTTCACTTTCTTATTACTTAGCTTCCCCCCACCCAAGTAAATGAAACCACACTTTGTTTTCATTTACCAAATGAATTTAGTCTTATAATACAATTACTATGATCTGAAAACATGTAACGTTTAATTTAGGTGTGTGAAGGAAAAAGAGATCTGTAAGAGTGAAAATACTTTTTCAGAGCTCTGTATTTGTGTTACCACAAATACAAGCAACCATGAGTTCCTGTTTGCCGCTGAGGTTAAATTAGAGCATGTTTCTGACTCCAGCACAAGAATTTGAGTTGACCTTGTGCACAGCAGTTGTCACGATGTCTGATGCCTGGACGAGGATCTTCACCTTCCTTTGTCTCTGCTGCGCAGCAGGTAACGCTAAGACAGATGCGATAATGAACGACAACAAACTGATCTCGTCAATATTTTAAACTGTCTGATGTAGGTATATGATGAAATAAATAGGATATGAAACGATTTTTTTTTTTTTGCTTTTGCTGTGTAGAGATGAAAGGAGAGGTTTGGAAAAAAGTTGGACAATCCATTACAATCCAGTGCAGAACCGAGTCTGATCAAGATTTTCTGAATTTAAAAAAGAAGACTGCCAATGAGGAGACTGACATTGTTGGTGTAGACAAAGCCACAGAAAGAAGAGTTGCTCTTCAAGGAATGACAGAAAGAGTTCAGACCTATGGAGCATTTCCCAGTGTGGATATCATCATTAAAAACTTGAATGAAAATGACACAGGATCGTACTGGTGTGTGTATTCAAAAACGAGCGAAACATTTAATCAAGAACTAACAAAAGGTGACGGATCTGTGCTGCTGTTTGTGACAGGTGAGAGTCTTTTTTTTTTGTAAATTAAACCACCTGCATCTAAGCTCAGTTATTACATTTTGCTGGGCATAACTTTGTTCAACAGCCTTAGAAAGACACTGCATCACAGCAAAATTTCTCAAAAGGGGGCATTTAAAAAGGACTGAAAGGTAGATGCTAAGCACAAATTTAAATAACTAAGTGTGATTCCTTGATAATTTTGTTTAAATGAAATAATCTCAAAGTGCTTTGGGTGAAACTTTAAATGGAAACATCAGACTGGCCGTGTGGTTGTGCTCTGTTTGTCTCAGATCTTGCCGCTGACTCTGTGGTTAGCATTAGCCCGTCAGACCACATTTGTTTTTAGCGCAAAATATATGCAAAAACTGATCAGGTGATTTAATTTTGAAAAATAAAACCACTGTATTGAGTGTAATTGTATTTATCTGCCATGAACTGTATTCATATTGTAGAAGATGGATATATCTAAAAGAGGTAGCCTACTTACGCTTCCCCCTCTAGAGTTGAAAAGACATGCTCGCCATGACATACACACATTTTCATTTAGCTACACAATTAAATATGCTATGTCCTTTCTAAGGGAAGCAGGTTTTGAGAGGTGAAGGGTCAGAGCTTGAAAAGTCAGCATTTGCACGTGCAGAAAGCTTCCCTGTGAAAAGCACAGTTCGCCACTATATGTGGCCAAAGACATCATGTGCACCAGTTAGCTGTCATGTTCAGTGTACACTGTGGTTAAAAACAAAAGCACATTCAGACTGAGGTGTGAGCATTGGGTTGAACTACGTCAACAGTAATGGTCAGCATGTATTCTTCCTGGCTGAAGGTCTCCATCTTTCTGTGTCTCTGGTACCCAACAGGTAAGGCTGAAACAGAATTGTGCCCTATTATGGACAGAGGTATGTTTCAAAGCAAATGTAATCGTTTAGCAAATTTTTTGTTGCTATTTAACAATCTTGTATGGTGTGCTCTGTCTTTTATGTTCTTTTGCCTAGAAACAAAAGAAGTGATTTGGAGAGAGACGGGACAATCCGTTACGATCCGGTGCAGAATTAATACTGATCAAGATTTTCTGGTATTGAAAATGGGACATAACGAGGAAACTGAGGTTGCCTTTATCAACAGAGCCTCCAGAAAAAGACATTTTCATAAAAGAATTGCAGGAAGAGTTCAAACAAATGGAACATTCCCAAGTGTGGATATTGTGATTGAAAACTTGAATGTAAGTGACTCAGGGCCGTACTGGTGTGTGTATTCAAAACTAGATGACAGTTACCGTCAACTGGTCACAAAGGGTTATGGATCTGTTCTTCTAATGGTGACCGGTGAGTAAATTATTCTACAAACTGAATTTAACTCAATGAATATGTTCGGCTGGACAGTATTTTACTTTGTGCAGCAGATTTCTACAATGCACAGCAACATCCATCAATATACACAGGATGTATTATTAAGGTTTCCAAATAATGATGTGACTGAATTAAAAAAGTTTAACTTAAATGATAGATTTCTGAACTTAAGCATGCAAAATATTTTAAATGACAAGATTTTTTTTTTTAAATATAACATTTCAAAAATAAAAACATACAACTTCCTGCATGAAAAATAACAACATTATGTTTGTAATTTCAAGGAAATAGTTGTGAATCAACAACAACAACCATTATGGAAGTGCCAAAATGTGATGCATCAAGTCTTACTTTGGTTGTGGTTTATGTTCGCATCACCGTCATTGTTCTGATTGGCCTCATGCTCGGTTTTAGCACTTTGATCATGTACAAGGTATGTTGATGTTTTTTTCTTTTCTCTTTTGAGAGAATAGGTGCCTTTGGTTGCGCCTGTGGATGTACCGCATATAATTAAATACAGTTAGGGTCAGATGAGTTATTCCTTAAATTCTGCAAATGTTTCTAATACATCAGTGAAAACTGTGATTATTTTGAGATCTCATTCCTTAGTCGTCATTATGGTTCTTTAAAAATAGTTTCACGTTTTTTTTTATTTACAATTACATCCTACAGTCAGCAGGTGGCAGCAGGATCCCTGTTCTGCCTCATATTCCTGCATATGTTTGTTTTTTGTCTAATCCTGTCTTTTTTGTTTTGCAGAGCCACAACAAATAACCACCAAAAAGCAAATAAGCAAAAAAAAAAAAAAAAACAATGAGCAAAAGAATGGAGAAACAGGTAATGGAGCCAAATGGAAATCAGACATTGAAACAAAATTAAACTCCAAAGTATAAATACTGAGATGTAAAGTGACACAAGAACCAGCTGGACCAATCAGGGGAAACATTCATTTATTTTTATTTTTATTTTTACATTAAACCGTTTTACTCAGAGCTCAACCCGCCTCCTGCATAGCTGCACATATACTCTCTCATCACACACTGTCAATAGTTCAACTTTTGTATATAATTTCTTTCGGTACTTATTCTGTGATCCAGTTGTAACTGTGCTGTTACTTTTCATTCATAAATGTTTTGCACATGTTCATTTTTGATTGTTTTTCATGTAATTTAGCCTGTTTGAGGTCTGTATAAAGCACAATTGTTGCTCTATAATGACTTATTTCACAGTTCCAACATGATGTTTGATGATGTAGACCTATTTAAACTTGGTATTTTGGTGAGAAATAACTTTTTGTTTGTTTGTTTCTTTTTCTGAGAAGGACGTCAAAGCCTTAATAAATATCTGCTATCGATGCAAATTTGCTGAGCCGCCACAAGAGGGCAGTATCAATGCAGCAAAGCGCAGGGCTTCCAATTTCTGGAAACTCCACGCATTTGACGTTCTTCCGCCAGGATAAAAAGAAAATGTAAAGAGAAAAACGGATCATGATCCCATAACAAGAAATTACAAAATAGATAATAACCTGATAAAATTAATCAGTCTAAGATCATTAAAAAAAAGTTTAAGGAAAAGCAGATTTTGGATCTTATTTATTTAAAAGCACAAACTTATCAAAGGTGTAGAAGCTGCTTACAAATGTATCTTTGATATGACATCCATTCAAAAATTATGTACACACACATAGCAGATCCTCACCGGTCATGATAGGATTATTTTGTGCAGACTTAAAGCTTCATTGTTTCTTAAGCCCCCTTTAGAAGATCAATAAGGCAGAAAATTATGCAACGTTACAAGTAGGAATTTCAACATACACTAAAAGTTAAGAGTTTAAAGTTTTTATTCCAATTCAAGATGTTCGAGTTCACAGGTTAGTTTGAAATGGTACAAAGGTAAGTGTTAGACTCTCAGAGGTAAGCAACTTCTGCTCTGCAGCAATGGAGGTTGATCAAAGATTGAAAGCTGGTGCAACTCAGTCCTGTAGGTCTTCCAGTTTTTCTGGAATACTTACAACCACATGTGTCTTCATAGAATCAGTGTTGGAACGCAATGTTGCACTATACCCACATGGACATTGCACAAAGTAGTGTACTGCTACAAGTATAGTTAATTTTTTTTTTCTAAACAGTGGCAGAGAGACAGACCATCACAAAACTCAAAACTATAAGTCTTTAATTCGGAAATTGCACTTAAAGCAACGGTGAGTACAGTTTCTTTCACCATCAAAAGGCACTCAGAAACTGTGACAAAGTCTGACAGGAAGAGGTCTGGCAGACTAAAAACCACTCATAAATCAAACACATTTCTGAGAGTTAGCAGCTTGCGTGACAAGCAGCTCTCAGTACAACAGATTTCAAGCTGCAGGTTTGACAGCACGAGTTGCTGAGAGAAAGTCGTTTCTAAGATGTCAAAATGAGACATAAACACTCGTCTGTGCCATGAAACACAGTTGTTGGACAACTGAAGAGAAGTAGGCGTTATGGACTGATGAATCCAAATTTTAAATCTTTGTCCAGGGTTGGTGAATTGTACATAGTTAGAGGCATCTTGAAACAAAACTGCCACCACAGCATTCTGCAGCAGCGTACAATGCCCTCCGACATTGAGGGTCAGTGATTCATCTATCAAGAAAATGAAAACAACTAGATGTTAAGTTTGAAGACATGGACTAAAATCCCCTTGAGTCAGTTGGGGATGAAGAGTGAAAACAAATCAACCTACAAATTATGGGAAGAACCTTCTGAAGAGTGTTTGATATGTATTGTAGAACTAATGCCACAAGTGTGTTCAGCTGTCACATCTGCCAAAGGTGGTTACTTTAAATACATTTTGATCTACAAATTGATTCCATGATATCTTTTTGTTAGGTCCAATTACTTATTTGTACTGTGCTTTCATTTCAGAGTGAGACATTAAACTGCATAGTTTTAATAAGAACTTGAAAAACTCTAAAACTTTAAACCAGTATTGCATTTTGTTGGAGGTTTGTTAGAAGAATTGGAGAAGTTTGAGCTTTGTTTGTAACATTATTAATCACTTAAGATGATCTCACTGCATGATATTGAGCCTTTTATCCAGATATTAATTAATATTTCCATCGTTACACGCTGGGACCCATCATGTTTTAGACTTCAGGTTTAAAGATTTTTCATGATTTTCTTTTACTCTGAATTCTGGGAGCTCTGCTGCTGTCTTGTTGTTGGACCTGAAGACAGACTTTGATGTAATCAACCATTATATCACCACTGGAATCATGTGTTGGCCTTCAGAGTCTGTTCTTCTCTGGTGTTGGTCCTCCTTATCTGGAAGGAGGTTTTGTGTGAATGTGGGTCCTGTCAGCTCAAAAATAGCTTGTCTTAGTTACAATGGCATAATTTTTAGACAATACCATACTGCGCTTGGGTCTTTCAACATGTTTTTCATTTGTCCATCACTCTCAGACAACGGACAACTGCACCGTTCTGTATTTTCGTTTGGACCAGTTCTATGTTGCTCCAAAATGCAGCTGCTTCTCTGCTGACTGGTACAAAACAGAAGGACCATATAAACCCCAGTGTTGGAGTCTCTACAGTGACCTGCAGGATCCAATTTAAAATGTCAGTTTTTTCCTATTAAATCATTCAGTGGTAAAGTCGATGTTATTCAATAAGGTCAGAACTTAAATCTCAAGATGACTGAGTCTTCTCCGTCACAGGCCCCAGACTCTGGAATAACCTGCCTCTAAATATTAGATCTGTACAGAAGATGCAACATTTTAAACATTTTAAAGACACATTTCATGGACCGGCTTTTAAAATATATTGACATAAACTTTATTAATTTTTCCAATCTTACATACTGTATGTTGTTTAGCTATTTCTATTCCCTACACTTATTGATTTTTATTTCTCTTCTACGTTCTCAGTGCACCACTGTCATGCATTTATTTTGGTTGCATTTTAGTTTGCACAGCAGGAGTTCTTGGAAATGTGCGACTTCTAACTCTGCTGCTCGCTTGAAGTGACAAAACGGCATCTGTATTCGTCACGTCTTCCTGCAACATGTGAGTGTACACAATGTGGTGAAAACAAGAGCAGATGTCCAACTAGAGCGTCATAACTAGAGAGAGCCTTCTCTAAGGTAGACGTCAGCATGTCTGCAGTCTGGGTGAAGATCTGTGGCATTCTTTGTCTGTGCTATGCAGCAGGTAAGCCTGAGAAGGATGTAATGGCAAACCACCATTATGTTTATTTGGTCTAAAAACAATTTTGTCAGATGTTGCTGAAGCCTCGTGACTGTCTTATGAGATGTTTTGTTTTCATATTCAGAGATGAAAGAAGTGGTTTGGAGAGAAGTCGGAGAATCCGTCACAATCCAGTGTAGATCCGGCACAAGCAAGCATATTTCTCTGCATTTTAAAAGGGGCCTCCGGGAGGACATGGATATTGCTCAAATAAATAACAAACTCAAATTGAGAAAAAATCAGAAAAGATTAATGCATTTTTCCGAAATTAAATTGGATGAGGTTAAAAATATGATTGACAGAGTTCAGTTTAATGGAACATACCCAAACATAGATTTTCTTCTTAAAAACCTGAGTGTCGACGACACAGGAGCATACTGGTGTCTGTATTTGCAAGACACATCAAACACCAGAGAAATGATAAAAGGTGGCGGATCCGTGATCGTTGTGGTAAAAGGTGAGAATATTTTTCTTATAAACTACTGCTGCATTTAGCACAAGAATGTTTTGCACAAAACGTAGAATTAAATGAATACGCAAAGACTGTAGCGAGGAGGAACTCCAACTGTGACTCTGATCTGGCAGTGATGTAAATATGCTTTTAAAAGATGTACACATATTTAAACTGAAAGCAGAAAGTGATTACTTCTGAGTTTTCTAGCGTTTTTTTTTTTCTGAATCCAAACCAAGATGTATGCATTTATTGTTAACTTCACACTAAAAGCAGATTTCTAACCTCTCTGTCTAAATTTTAAGAAAACAGTTATGCCAGAGCAGAAGCGGTGCAGGGCGCTGATGAACCAACCATGAACATGCCCATGCATGTGCCGTTGGTGTATGCTGTCCCTGCTGCAGTCCTCTTCCTTGGCATCATATTGAGCTTCATCATTTGGATCAAGCGCAGGGTACTTTTAATTGCTTTTGAATTGCAACTTTATGTGTCTGTCTCTGTGTGTGAATGTAGCCTTCGATATCCGTGTTATTACAACAGTGCAATGGTGCAGGGACAATACTAAATTGTGTTTAAAAAAGATTTGTCAGAATTCTACATGTCCATTTCTTTAAAAGTATTCACGTGTAAGTAAGAATCCACCAGCATAACTGTGACAGAGTGACAGAAATGACCAGTTCAATGAGCATTTAGAGGTTTTGAAGAAGCATTAGAAGTTACACCAATTTTAGTACAAAATGCCAAAAATAACATCCAGTATGGATTTTTATGTCATAACCTTTAACACATTTTTTTGTTTGTTTTATAAATTTGGGCATTCCAGTTTCTCTTAATTAGTTCAATTTTGCATTTTTAATTTAGAACTGTTTACAGCTTTCTCCCGCTGTTTTGCTTCTAATGTTTTTGTGGCTTTTATCCCTGCCTCAATGCTCAAAATTGGTGTTTTTGTTGTTCATCCCACCTGATGAGCAAAACCACAACTCGGTGTGTTTAACCAGAAATGACATCCTCTGATACAAACTGTACCTTTCCACCAATTTAACTTACACATTTTTATTTCTGAAGGATTCAAGAACATTTTCATTCTGTGTCACACATTTATTGACGAACTGCCGTCTGATCCATCCGTCATGTTGATCTTTTAAACAGACCAAGTCCGCTGACATCACAGTTGAGCAGACGCGTGTCTACGCTGAGACCGCCAGCTCTGATGTGGATGAGGAGCATGTCGAGGCTGAAGCTGAGGATGAGACTGTGACGGTGCAGCTTGCAAAGCCGACTGAGTCGCTCAACACCTCGGACCACAGTGTCAAAAGTGATGCGTGTTAAACTGCATCGCTTGTCAGACCACCTGGTTTTCTAAACCAAGTTTTTGCATGTGTGCAAAAGTGTAAGCTGGTGCCATGCTTGAACAAAATTGCTGAGTATAGTTAAAGACGAAGGGGAGAAAAAAAATCATTATCATGAATAGCATTTACACCTATATTGTTTTGTCTTTGTATGTTCCTTTCTTTTTTTCTTTTTTTTTTTTTACCATTTTAGTCTCAGTTTTAAGAAAGTTTTACTTGTATACAGTTATGATTTTAGATAAGATATTACAAATTATTAATGCAGGGAAAAATATTAAGAATGTTTATATCTATCAGGAAGGAAAAAATGAAGGCGGAGACAAAACGTAAGGACTTTGGAGGAGAATAAAGCAAATATCTGTGTTTTTATTGTATTTTTCTTGAATGATGTATCCTTTTGACAAAGTCACACACTGTTACTCATGAATAAAGAATACATGTAAAGCATGAATAATCTCATGAAGCATGCACTGCAGCATATTGTTTTCTGTTGTATTTTATCTGATTAGCAGAGAAATGCCACAATGTTATAAGAAATTCTCTAGATTCATTCACTTTTGCTTTCCATAAATGTCTGACTAGACAGATGAAGTTACTTTTATTTCCAAAAAACCCTTTAGCAATAATTTTGTATGGCCAAAAATACATAAGTTCGTTCCCCTACTTTATCATTAAACATAAATATATCCATTTTGTTCTCGGACAAATAACTTTTAGTTAGTTGTTGACTGAAGACTATTTAATCCCAGCAGAATTAACCGAGTCACTTTCGCTTTATTGCCTCAAGAGGGCAGTGTTATTTTCTTCTTCTTCATCATCTGTTCCGGGTTTTCCCTTTCGGGGTCGCCACAGCGAAACATCCTGTATCCATTTCGTCCCGTCCTCTGCCTTTTCTACCCTCAAACCAACAACCTTTATGTCCGGTTTTTACCACATCCTTTACAAGAGGCCAGTGTAAACAAAGTAAAACAGGCAATCCACCTTCTTTTCAGTAAGAATTACACTTATATATCATATAAACATGTCTTCCAGTGATGTAAAAGATAGAAAAAAAATGTTTGCACTTAAGCTGTTTTCATTTTGTCATCTCTTCAAGCACAAACTTTTAATGCCACTGTTTTCAGTTTTTATGTGTAAGAAAAACTCTAATTGTAAAAGTGAAAAATAAAGCGAAATGTCTTACTGCTTCAGAATTCATCTAAATAGTAAAAAGAAAAGAAAAAATGTCCAAGTAGCCTTTCTGGAAGATTGGCAAGAAAAAATAAATAGTTTAAAAATAAATATCAAAGAACTTCTATTTACAGTTTGGCACAAAATGGGTAAGTTCACAAAATGTTAGCATCTTATAGAGCCTTTTTCAAGTTATTATCTCAAAATGGTTAGCATGTGGCCTAGCTACAAACCTACTAAGATGCAGTTTCTACCTAAACTAACTGGCCTGACAAAGAGAAAAAAAGGCTGATGAGCTGCAAAGGTGGAGATTTTCACCCAGGCAGCAGACACACTGTCTGGGTGAAAGAGAACAGGAAAACCTCTTGTTGCACACTCCAAAAGTTTGGGCTTTTTGTTAGAGTGGATTGACGAAACTTATTATTGAAACAAACCTGCAAGACGTCTTGCCAAACCGTGAGAGGAACAGCTTAAAGATGTTTGTTACTGACACTGCTAGCAAGAAAAGTATGGTGCCACTTCTCTACTCTTTTTTTCTGAACATAGCTCATCTAAACATATTAATAAGAAATCATCAAAGCAGTATATTTATAATTCCTTGCAAAAATTGTATTCACTTAAACTTTTTTCAATTTGTCATCTCTTCAAGCACAAACTTTAATGACACTGTTTTCAGTTTTTTGTGATAGAAAAACACCAAGAATTGCACAATTGTGAAGTTGAAAAATAAACCAAAACGTTTGATCAAATTTGATTCACGTTTCCAGTGTGTGGCCTTTCTTCCTGGCACTGAATTATTTTAACAGGTCTTACTATTTCATGCCAATTTACTTAGAAAAGTACAAGTGTGACCATTATTAGACTTTCCAGAATGATTTCATTGCACTACGGGAAATAAACCGTCTAAAAAAAATAAAAGCCAGACAAAATGTCCCAAAAGTCTTTCAATCATACTTCCTGTGTCTTTACCACAGTGTCAACTTCCCTAATTCTGCAAAATCAATGTAAGAAACCCTGCCTGAGATTGGAAATATGTTTTCTCAGTGCAATGAAAATAAAAAGGATCAAAATTTGAAATAGTACCCCATAAATACCAACTGTTTTTAAGTGATTTTAGGACCAGAAGCATCAAGAAATCAAACATATGCCAGCTTTTCTCTGTTATTTCTCTTCAGACTGCAGCTCCACCACTAAGTAAGTGTTTTAAACCCACCTTTGAAAGAAATTGAAAAAACTCACTTCCTGTACCAGCTGCTTGTCAAATGTAGTTTCTATTTATGTGTTGTCAAAGATAAATAAGATTGGGTTGCAGGCTGAATATGCTGACAGCTTCCCGCCCACATCAAAGGTATTTTATATAGGTCATGTGTTCCTGTGAGCTGTCAAGTTCGACTATGTGATTGAAAACATTTCTGCATGTGGAGTCAGAACCGGACTGATCTTTGTGAATGTCAACTATCAGCATGTCTGCTGTCTGGGTGAAAATCTCCACCATCCTTTGCCTCTGCTACACGGCAGGTAGGACTCAGTCAAATGAAATTATAAACAATAACATGCGTATTTAAGAAAATGTGATGGGGGTATTAAAACTGGCATTTTGTGTGTGTTTTTTTTTCTTTCTGTAGAGATGAAAGGAGTGCAGTGGAGAGAAGTTGGACAATATATTACAATCCAGTGCAGATCTTCGTCTGATCAAGATAGTCTGATCTTAAAAACGGGTCTCAATGAGACTGAGATTTTTGTAATAAACAAAGACCCTTTTAAAGAAACAATTGGTGACAAAATAAAAGGACGAGCTCAGACAGCTGGGACATTCCCCAACATTGATATTCTCATTAAAAACTTGCGTGAAAATGACACGGGACCATACTGGTGTACTTACTCAAAAACAGAAGACGTTACATATCAACAGAAAATCATGAAAGATGATGGATCTGTGCTGCTGGTGGTGACTGGTGAGTATTTATTTTGTCCTAGATGTTGCTTCTTCCAAGTCAAACACATATAAACTAACTGTAGTTAAAGGCTTTTTAGTTAGAAAGGTTTTCATGCCTCGAACACAAAATTAGCAAGTAAAGATTGTGACACGAGTCGTATTGCTGCTTAGTGTTTTCTATTAAAGTTTTGACATATGGTTTTGATTTTAAGAAAAAAGACAAGAAACACCGCCACCATCAAATGATCGGCTGAAAAAGTGCGAAGAAGCAGATATGAACATGGTGCTGCTGGGGGTCGCCATCGCTTTTGGCGTCCTGTTCATCATGACGCTGGGCTTTGTCCTGATTATCATGCGCAAGGTATGAATTTGTGTTGTTTTCGTCTTTGTTGAGTTTTGGAAATTCACCGTTTCCCTTTGACTCAACTACTGTTTGTGTCTTCGCGGGTGTTTCAGGATCAGTAAGCCTTCCTGACTGAAAGTGTCACTCAGATGCTATGCATGAGCCACATTTAAAAAAAAAGAAAAAAAAAAGGTTTTCCTCTTCAAGTAACGATTTATTACAACATGTGATAATTTGTTAAAATTCAAAAACTATTTCGAATGTTTTTACGAAATCATTCATTGTGGCTCAAACGATTTAGTGCGTAAAGCTGCGTTTATGTGATCATAGATTGCTTCTGTTATTTCTTTTGCAAAACTGACAAACCTGAACCTCAAACTTAACTCTGTGAGCAGGAAGCCTTGTGCCTATAATGCTGAACATCTTCACAGCTCTTTCAAAGACAACTAGCAAAATTGAAACACTTTTTTGTTTCAACATCAAAAGCAAAAGTAAAATAAAAAAGATGTATATAGCACTTTTAAAGACATGAACAAAACAAGAGAAAAGATGCTGGAAAATGTAGGATTACAACCCACCCCCCCAAAAAAAATATATAAAACACAATTCATTTAACAAAATACACTTTAAAATATCACTGTGTTTTGTAGAAGATAGCTAAAAATTCAATTCACAGTACTCAAACTTATTGGACAGTAGTACCAGAGTCTCCAGTTGAAAATGCTCCGTCACGTTTTGCTTTAAGCCCTGAATGTGGCACAGCCAGCAGAACCTCAGACACCGACTGGGGACAAATGAATGTAAAGGTTTGAGGAGATTCTGGTCTGTGAAAAGCTCTGCAAATTCAAATGGTCTTATTATTGCAGTAGACAGGAAACCATTGAAGCCAAACAAGAAGTTGTGTAATGTACAAGAATTTGACCTAGTCAGTAAACTAATGAATGAGTTTGTAACTATTTGCAGATGCTGCATGCTTCTTCTTCTTTTTTTTTTTTTTTTGGTTTATGTAAGCAAGTAGGAAATTACAATAATAAAGCCTAGAAGAAATGAAAGTATGTAAAAGGAATCCCAGCTACACAACGGAACTCAAGTGTGCGATGTTTCACAAAACATAAACAAAAGCAGGCATTTGTCATGAGTTGTAACATAAAAGCCTCGTTCAAAATATATCCCCAATGTCTGTCGTAGTAGAGCACAACTGCTTACAGCTTAAGGTGGCTAGAAGGCCATGAGTTTTTTTTTTCGCAAAAGTAAAAGAAAATCATTTTAGCATCTTATTAATTTACTGGAAGAAGGTTTTAGCCATCAAACTGCTTATCATGTCTAGACACTGATGCAAGCAACCATGTGAAACTTGGAGGAAATGTATAATTGCACAGCCACTGCATGGCACTGATAAGTGATGTTTGACGAAGCTTTCAGTAAGAACAAAGAAGCAATATGTGAAACGGAAACAACGGGGGCCCCAACACATATCTTTGATGTACGCCTTTTCAGAGCAGTGTAGTTTGAGGCAGTAGTAGAAAACAGTCTTAGGAAAACTGTGTTGATTACACATTTTTCATGAAACTACGTCAAACCTGATCTACTGAATTTTTTTGAAGCGTTTTACATGTCACAGATTATTATTCCAGATGTCATATTTTAACCATTTCATTCAGAAATGCTTATAAATTTCTCCCGATCATTTTGACCTGTGTTATTTACAACGCTGACGTGTTGCAATGCACAAAGTCTTCGCGTCTTGTATGGGACAAACAGAACAACTTGCTTATAAAAAGTTGTCAGTCAAACTATTGGAAAACATTGATTTTCTTAATTTTTTTTTTTTTCTTTTTGAAGCTGTTGTCTTTGGTTTCAAACTCATTTCCCCATTTTAAACCAGTCTAACTTGCTGACAATCTTTTGTGACCAGACCAAGAGCTCAAACAAAGCAATAAAGCCGAGGCGTGTTGCTGCCGGCAATGATGTTTACGAGGACATGCGAGGAACACTGAGGCGCTGAGGATGCACTTTGCAGGACGCTGACATGCATGAAACTCATGAAGCCGTGGACCACAGAGGCAAGCGGGGCATGTGATGCACTTCCCCAACAGAAGCAAACAGAAGGCAAGCGTTTGTATTTACAAGAGAATGTCTACAAAGACAAAGAAGAGACTGGACTGAGTGGATCATCAAAGTTGTACTTTGTATATGTTGTTTGTATAGTTTTATTTTAAACTGGAAAACAAATATTATGTGTAGCATAGACTTTTTTTTTTAAATGTATGTTTTGTTTTGTAATTTAGTACCAAGTTTGACTAATGTTTTATATAGAAAGACCAAAGTGGAGCTGGAATGGAATAAAAAACAACAACACAATCTGACACTTAGAGAGCAAATAAAATGAATCTGGCAAATTGGAAATATGAGGAGTTTTAAACAATTCCATCTATAAAATCTTTTGTTCTGTTCCCAGATTTCCTGAAGTGTTTTTAGTAATCGTGACGCATCTAACATGATTGAAACACATAGACGTCTTGCATATTTCTAAATGCAGATTGCAGTTCACTGTTTTTAAGTGATTTTAGGACCAGAAGCATCAGGAAACCAGTGTGATACATTTCAGGATACGGTTTATATTAGCAGAACTAACTTTCACCTCTACCTTTCACTTGTGAAATTATTATTTTTTTTTTTATTATATAGACAGATTTTGATTCAGTTAAATGCCAACGCTCAGGTGTCATTTTGAAGCTCTCGGCTACAGAAAGGCTTCATGATCAAGAAGTATTTGCAGTAAACAGTTTATATTTAGGAATAGCATGTCAAGCACTATCAACTTTTCCAAACCAAATTCTTCCGATAAAATATTTCACTCTAAATGCATTTCAAGAAGGTGTTGGCACACATTTTAATACTAACCGTGTAATAGCAACAAATGTGCTACAAATATGCTTTGTAGTATTTTGGTAGTTAAAATAAAGACTAAAACTAAGTATAAAATCTTGGTACTGATTAAATCAAGGTTTATTTTTCTGTTAAGTGGAATATGTGTAATACAATTGTCTGTATTTTTAATTCTAAATCAATAAAGCAATGTCTTTGCTTACTTTCAAACTTTCTCCAGCTTTTACATTGACTTGATAAAGTGTTAAGAACTCTGGAAGTTTCCCACATTTTGCCACAACGCAAGAACAAACTTTAGTGCATTAAATCAGGATTTGAGAGCGACACAAAGTAGCACACGATTGGGAAGTGAAGGGAAAACAATTAATGATTTTCATTTTCCTGTTTTACAGATGTACCTCTGTAAAGTGTTCATGGATGTTGCACTGGGCAAACTCCTCCTTTTTGTGCCTAAATGACAAAATGACACGTATGCTTTGAAGAATCCTTACTCAGTCTAAATTCATTCAGTCCGCCTAAATTTGTGCTTGTCTCAGTTTCAGGTTGTCTTGATTCCAGAAAAGCATTAGGATGTTCTTCCTTTGTGATTTGATAAAGAAATGTGGATAAATATGATTTATCAGTTCAGTTCTATCTTTTGTAAAACAAAAACAACAACAAAAAAAAACAACAACTGTGAAACACAGGCAGGCATCTGCTTTGTATAAACTGAAAATGATAGTATAAAAACTTTCTTCTCCATTTTCTTGACCTCGTCTGTTGCCAGGGAGGTGAGCCATTTCACCAAAACTATAATTGATTTAACATTGTGTTTAAGTATTTGAAATATGTCTTTGTACTAGACTAAAGAGTTTTGCTCATTTCTAATTGAAAAAAATAAAAAATAATAATAAAAATGTTCAGACAAGATCAGATGAAAAGCAACCGTAACCATAATTTTTCATGTAGACAGGACAGACATACAGATACACACTGTATTTTGACCAATATTTTTATGGTTTTGAGTTCTCCATCCGGCCACCACTTGCCACATAGTGGTCTTCTTTTACACTAAAACCACCGCCAGCTTAACCCACAACAAAAGAGTCAGTAATTGTGAAGGTGAAAGTCTAGAGTCTTACAGTAAATGTGGGCTCAGTTAGGAGAAACAGCAGGTGTGCAGTCACCATGTGTCACCTTTAGAGGAACAAAACCTAATGAGTTGTGCAAATATCTGTCAACTTGCCAGACTCTCATTCAAGAGTATCGTAATGAACCACCTCGAAATTACTATTACAAAAGCTGGAATTTATATTGTTTTCACAAGCCATATTGAACCAAAATGACTAATAGGACGTCAGCTGAGATGCTCCTGTTGGTGAAGTTAACGATTACTACTACAAGAAGAAAAAGCGTGTTGGTATTTTATTAACACTGGCGACTCAAGCTAGTTCACATGCTCTCTTAAGTGGCTCTTCAGTTATTATAAATCTTAAAGCTGTTCAAATAAGACATCTCCGGCTGAAGCTGAAATGTAAAAGACGTTGCTTGGGGTGAAGGGAACAAAAAAAAAAAAAAAAAAAAACATTGCTTGCAAAGTGTAGCTAAGCTGGATGTTTACTTAAGCGGCAGCTTTGTGGTCAAAGGTTATATTTTCTTCACGAAGATGCTCCACAGGACACTGAAGTGTGAAACGTGTCATCCTGTGCGTTTGTAGGCGAAATGTCAGCGACGAGAAGCGCAAGAACACGGTTAACGTTTTGTATCAGCGCACGATGGAGAGGGACCACTTAAGAATGGTCGTGAGCGAGATGTAAACCAAGCGGTGCCACAAGTTAAAGCAAGTGGTGGAAACAGAGACCACTGTTCCGAGAAACGCAACCTAAGTACATCTACAGTGAGAGCATCCAGCCAGAGCCACAGCTTTTTTTTCTTTTTTTTTTTGTCCTTTTCTCAAATTAGCTTTATGCACTTTTACATTTTTTCTGTTTTTTTACTCAGTTTTAAAAGTTTAAGCAAGAGCAGGAAACTTCTCAACACGCACCTGCTGCAGCAGACGTTGTAAATGTGTCACAATTTTATCACAGGAAACAATAAAAGAACTGTGTCAGAAGGCGCACATACAAAAAATATAAGAGAAACAGATAAACAGAGGCTGAACTGACGAATGTTGACGGAAACCAGATGAATCTCCGTGTATCGGCAGGCAGCTTTGAAGAAAAACACCCCAGTATCAAGTATCGTAATCTGCACGATTTGCAAGAAAACAGTGGAAACTGGGTGCTTTCAGAGGAGTAGGTAGTTTGGTTTGGATGGAACATGTCTGGTTTCAGATTGTCTTATCTTACGCAGGTTCAAAAATACTTTAATACATAGCTTCCCCCACTTTCTGGTTACAACGCACCTGGCTTTTACAACAGAAACAGGATGTTGATATATATATTTATTAATATATCAAGGCATATGTCGCAGAAATACGATTAGATTAGCAAAAAAAACATGACCACTATGCTGCTACACTTTGCTGCTTTGTATTCTTGGGCATGAATGCCTCATCAGAATGGAAAAAAAAAATGTCTTGACTTTGTAGGCAAACAGTTCCTCTAATTGGAAACTATAAAATGTGATGAACATGGGGGATGTCTTGGGTGTACTCCATCTGGAGATGGATGGTACATAATAGATAACATGGAAGTTACAAATTTAGATAAACAATTGAAGGTTTTGGCTTTGAATCAAGGATTTTTTTTTCTTGGTCATCACGTTCTCATTCTCAGATTAACGGACGAATAATCTCATTTGGCGTGTTTGAGGTGCGTTTGCACGTCAAGCTAAGCTGAATTTGAATTTCAGCTTCTTTGTACGTTGGAACATGAACGTACGTGACTCACGTAGACGTTCACTACAACCCTGACTTCAAACAAGTCGTCGTAGGTTTTCAGAAGATGTCACAAAGCACCTTCCTCCTTCACATTCATTCCAGGGATTTGCACCTCCAGCCTTATTGACATTTTCTCTCACGGCATAAAAAGTAATATCTGCTTTTGCCCACTCTCAGGGAATTTGCAAGTGGAAGTTCCCGCACTCGCCTTTCATGCTCAGACACTACAGTTTAGCTTTCGACACCCTGTGTCTCTGGATGTATAAACTTTCCGTCAATAATTACCCAGGCTTCAAAGAAGTTAGGGGACATTATGCTAAACTACAAGAGGATGGGTGAAGACTAATTTCTCACTGGCCAGTTGCTTAGAGTACACGCTGTTGAAACGCACTGAAACCATAGCTGACTCAAGCCACTGCGTGTTTTTCTGGGCCATGCATCTGGCATGTCCAGCCACAAATGGTACACTTAATCGGGTTATGCTATTTAATTTTGTTGCGTCAGCAAGTTCTGGATGTATTTACGTACAATGAGGTGGGGAAACAAAGCGTAGTTTTATGTCTTTAATTGAATTTTTAACAAATGGAGTTCCATCTGACGAAAACGAATGTAGGTCAGAGCTTTTAATTTTGCTCTCATTTTACAAGAACACATTTGTATTTTTATCTATGTGATAAAAAATATCTCTGTCATTTTACCTCTGTGACAGTAAAAAGGAGTCGTTGCTGTTGTTGTTGGCTTTTATGGCAACAGTTCTGCTTCAGACGACTCCACAGCTTCGTCTTTTTCCTCACATGTTGCTGATTGTTCTCTATTGTTTTCTATGAACCACACAGACAATGTATTTGCATTATTAAATCCCACATTGACTTTTAGCTAATAAGGTGAGCTCTGAAGGGAATTTTTTGATGTGGATTTTATGTGGGGGCAGAAATGGTAATGAAGCTGGATACAAATGCATGTCACACTTTTTTTGTCTCCACTTCACAGTTTAGCACTATTTTAACAAAATGCATAAAGGATTGTAGATGTAACGTGACAAAATTTAGAAAAGCGTTACTAAAACGTTTACAAGACACCTCAGGAGACAAGGAAATATTTCTGCAGAACTCTGTTGATGCTGTCGATTTGCCTTCCGTGAGCAGCTCGGATCTGCGCTAGTTGCTCTTAAACATCAAACTGAAACATTGCATCAACACAGACTTTGAATTTTCTCCTCAATCACTCGTGAATGCGCTGGAATGCTTGGTGGAAACGGAAGCCGAAGAGCCCACGCAGCGACCACAAGAGGTCCCTGCAGCTCAGAGCTACTGGCAAGATGAGTGTCTGTGTGCGGCGAAGGTGAAGCGAGGTGACAGGGTTTGACATTTGAAAGTTGGAAAGGTTGAAGGTCGACTGAACGCTTCATCCAAGCGGCACGTAGCTTCACCAAGACTCAGAGTTTAAAGTCCAAACAGTTTTTACCTGCCCGCGCTCTCCCACTGCAGCCTGTCAATACTGTACACACATGGGTGTTATGGGTATACAGTGATAAAATGTTCCACACAAACGCATTATTGTAGCTGTACGTCGGTTTTGACCTTTGCGCAACAGATCAGACCGGCAAATTGCTCAATCTCAGGATTCCTAATCCAATAATCCACCGCCTGATGATCCCCTGAGCGCACAGGTAAGACTGTAGTCTTTATTCTTTCTCTGGTAGGTGAAAGCCCCCGCGGAGTTACTGTAAACCACTCCCGCTCCTGGGATAGGGCGTGCGTCAGGAGCGCAGGTGAGATTATTAGACTATCCAGCTCACACAGCGTCTCCTGAAGCAGATAGAGGTGGGAATAAAACACTGGGGCAAAGTTTAGGGAGCTCTAAAAAGCATAGGAGCGAGCTTTAGAGACCGGTCGGTCCAGAGACGACAGAGAAGGCGGCACAGGAAGACGCAGTCTGGAAAAAGTTACGGATGCAAACGACACTTTTGAGATTTTCCTCTTTTTATTAAAACACTGCGAGCAGAAGAGAAGAGATTATCTGCAGCCATGAAGAAAACTTCATATCCAGGTGAGCGATTTGAAGCAACACCCCCTGTACCTTTAGTCTGTTTGTGAAAAGAAAATACCTAATGTTGGGGGTTATTTAACAGCTTGCAAAGTAAGTTTTTCTTTTTTTTTTATCACTGCTTTTCTTCATATCTAAAATCCCCTTTATGCGAAAGGCCCCACGCTGCGTGGGATCTGTGGGTGTGTTTTTTTTTTTAATGCATATCCATTTCTTGACACAAAGTCGCATAAACAGGTTGTGACATCATGACAGAAAGCCTGGCTCCTGGTTTCCGCCCTGAAGAATGACATACTTTATGCTTCTGGGTCAAATCCAACCTGTTTTATGACTGGTGGCATCTGAGTTTGACTCCTGTGACAGTTTTTTTTTTCTTTTAAAGGTTCAAATGGACAGCTATGAATTTTTTTAAAAATCAATCACTCATGCATTTGTCTAAAAACTTGCATTTATCAATCTAATCAGAAGTATAAAAATGTTTCATAAATGAAGCCAAAATAGCTCTATTTAAAAAAAAACAACAACATGCGTTTCAACCTAAAATCGTCAACAAAGTCTGGTGGTGGTAGTTTCATAGTTTGGACATGTTTTGCTGCGTTTGACTTAAAATGACCTGCCAGTAGCTGTAAAACTAAGAGTTTGTTAAGAATCTTGCAGTGTGATTGCAAATGGGGTTTGAGCAACAAACAATAAGAGGAGAGTAAAGTTACAATACTTTGAAATAATTTTTAAAAGAATATTACGCAGTTCTTCTGTGTTAAGCTCTTTTTACTACCACTTTTCTGCATGTTTTAGAATAAATCTCAAGTACTTTCAAGCATATCTTCACATGCATAGAAGGCTTTTTTTATCTTCATCTCCTCCTGCTTTTGTCTTTTTCTACCAATACTAATCCTCCTTTCACTTTCTGCCGTTGCAGCCTGCTAGCTATATCTCTCATCTCTCCATTCACAGCTCAAAAGCCTTCCTCGTCTTCCTCCTCTTCAGTTGTCCTTTCTCCAAGCCGCAACGTGGGCCAGAGCCTGCAGAATGCCAGCTTTCCTGGCTCCTCTTCCCGAAGTCTTTAGGTGCGATGGAGCGTCTGACAGTTTTCCATTGGAGAGGAGCACATGTTGGGTCATGCTGCTTCGCCTCCTCCTCCTCCTTCTCCTGCTGTTGCATGTGTGTGTGTGTGTGTGTGTGTGTGTGTGTGTGTGTGTGTGTGTGTGTGTGTGTTTGTGTGAGAAAGAGAGTGAAATCTGTCTGACTAAAGTTGTCTTAGTCTTTGTTAGTGCTTCCTGCTTGGAGAATAGTCTAATAACAAAGTATGCATTTAATCTGTTGTGTGGATGTGTTGTGAAGGGGCCGTTCTCGACAGGCATCTGGGATGCAGAGGCGTGGCGTTCGCAGAGGGAGTCTGACTTGTGTGTGGCCATGTGTGCGTGTGTGTGTGCGTGTGTGTGTGTCAGTTTTGTAGGCAAATAAGGAAAGCTCTCACACTTCAGCTAATTTTAAATGTAACCTATATTAGTACTGTAATGAAACATGATACTTAGGGGTTGTTGTGGTTTGTATGGACATCAATGGTCAATCATGCAACCTCTTGTACTTGTGAAGCTGATCCGTGCATTGCACACCACTCCCTTAAGTTGCCTGGATCAATCAGTAACCTGAGTGAATGCAACAACACACAGAGTCATTATTTTTCCTAGTACACACTCCTCCTGGTTTGTTCTTTCATGTCCTGCACAAAAAAAGAAGCACACGCACGCACACACACACACACACACACACACACACACACACACACACACATACACATGCGCCTTGTCTACTCCTACCTGTGACACTCACTCCATGTTGCATTTTGGCTTTTAAACTGTTTATGCTGGAGGGCGAGCAAGGCTTTGACTCAAAGCCCGAAGCAATTGTTAAATGGTAACTTGAAAGTGGAGCTATAAACTGTGTTGAGACATATTTGGCCTGTCATCTAGCAGAGCATGCCGAGGATGGTCTAACCATCAATTTGAAAGCTACAAGGCTGTGAATAATAGACTAATAAGCTACTGGAACATGTGGATGTGCGTACGGTGCTGCGGTTTCATGTGAAATGCGGGTGTTTTCACTCTGCCCAGGGTTACGCTTGGAAAAAGCTCGTGAAAACAGCAGAGAACCTGTGGGAGTACCACCGAGTCACACGAGTGGTGGTGGTGGTGAAACAGGAAAATGTTGGGTGTCTTGGGTAGTAGATTAACCCAAAACATTTACAATTATAGATCTGATGATTAACAAATACGGAAATAAAAAAAGCACCAAGTTTCCAAATTAATCACATGGAAAATATATCTAAAAAAAAACTGAATGCAACTTTTTCATAAAAAAAATAACCCATGTAAAACCTACAATTGTTATGATATCTGCATTTAAAGACACACCTCAGTGCTTCATCATTTTAACCCAACGTTATTAAGAGACATTGTGGAAGGTCCAGAGAGTGCAGACCTCTAACCCGAACACTAAGGGCTCATCGGACAACCGCAAAGCTCCACATGAGCAACCACCTGCTTCCCATTTTAAAAAAGTTAATTGTTTAGACTTAAAAGGAAACTAAAGTGGTGATAGAAAACCCACACAAAGATAATAATGGAAGATCTAACCGCTGCATACCTGAAACTCTTGTATCCATTTTATTTCATGTGGTTCAAAAGACAATGTTTACGTAGCGAAATAACCAAAAGGCATTATCTCAATAGGTTTTCTTCGCCTTATCCTGCACCGTGCCTTATCTGTACCTCAACTATTTATCACAAAATCCAAGATCTCGACCACAAGTACTGAGAAGGTGTTAGGGAAGACGTTAAGGTAGTACAGGCACACAGAATTATGGCAGTATTAATTGGTAATATTAAATAATACACTTTCTACTTCACGTTTTTCTTTGAAACGATAAAATCGATAAATATCAGAATCATGTTAGCATAATTAGCAATGAAAACAAAAGCAGAAATCTTCAGTGTTTGTCCGACTTGTTCATACAACCAAGCGCCACCTGCAGCGTGAAGTTCCTCCGGCTGCAGGAGACCAACAATCTACGTCTATGCAGTTCCCCTCGTGTGGAGCCTGCTCTCAAGTGTCCACTCTGCTTTGTGTTTGTGGTCTGCAGTCAAGAATGGAGCTCTGTGATGGTCAGCTGATACAACAGGCGGCTAGTGTTGTCCTGCTCGCCCGAGGCCTGGAGAAAAGCCTGTAGGAAAAAAATGGCAGACCCAGAGAGGTTCTGACGCATGTGGACCAGCATCCAGATGCTTTTAGAGTAGATATGAGTGTGTTTCAGTGTTTCAGATGTTGTAGCCGCATGCGCTGTTATCTGATTAGTACTTGTTGAAACATTTCTTCATGGACAAATGGAAATCCTGTCGTGCTAAGCAGGGCCAAGAGCCACGGATCAGGCAGCATATAGCAACTCAACTGTTTGGCAGGAACAGCCTTCTCCTGTCATGACAGGAGTAAATATTTGTATGTTCATAGAAATCAGTTGAAGTGTTGGCCGCTTTTGCTCTCTGGGCATGTTGGAGTGACAAACATTTCCTGAACAAGCTTCAAAATCCACGCGAACAAGTGAGCACGATAGCTGAAGCGCTAACCTTTGGTCATGTCTGGTTCCGCTTTTTTTCACACTTTATGTCTGACTACAAAAGTGTTTTAGCATTAAAGATAGCCTAAGCAAATACAGACTGTGTGTTTTAAATGAGGACTTCATTTGTTGATGAGAAATCATTATACCCTGAAGCTAACAATTGCTTGTAAAGCCTTTGTGCATGAATTGCCATCAAACATTTACGTTTGCCAAAACTGTAAGTGAATCTTGTCGGCTTGATCTTCTTTGCAGAATTATTTTACTTCTGCACCACTGAAGGGTTTTCAAGCACAAACTGCCTGTTTAAAGTCACTCAAGATTTGACTAGGCCGCTTCAAAACCTTCATTTGACTTTTTCTATGTCATTCAGAGATTATCTGCCGCATAACCCAAGCGTGCTTGGCTGGACATTCATCTTCTGGATTTTCTGGTAGAAAGCAGAAGTTAAGGTTTCATCGATTATTAATGTCATCCAGGTCCTGAAGCAGAAAAGCAGCCCAAGATCATCATACTACCACCACCGCTATGTTCTCTGTCTGAAAAATGGTTTTAGTTTTATGTCAGATGGAAAAGGCACGCCTTCCATAGAGTCAACAGAATATTTTGACTTTTGTAACCTCCTGGATAAGTTTTTGATGCTCTCTTACAGTGATTTTGGTAGGTTGGTCACTCCTGAAATGTTTTTCCCGTTGGTTTGCTGGAGCTCTAGAAACTGCCTTGCAACTCCTCACAGACTGATAAATGTCAAGGACTTTATTTCTAATTTATTTTGTATTCTTTACTGAGCCTATTGCGTTGCTTTTTCAGGTCTTTAAGTCTACTTCATGTTGTCAGGCAAGTTCTGCTTAGGGGAGTTCTGGATTTCACACATCTGGTTGTAATCAGAACCAAGCTGTCCAAAAATGCAGCTGATCACAGTTAATTCAGGCAATTACATGTTCACATGGGTCCCGGCTGGTTTTGTATCAAATCATCAATTGAAAACGGCTTTGTGTACTCAAGTTATTGCTGTTTATGTCATGATATGAATCACAAAAGCAAAGGGAGAAAAAAGAAACCTGCAACTAATCTGTACGATTACTTTCATGACACTTTAGGTTTAGAGAAAACTCAGATTAATAATACGCTTCTTGGTGCACACCCTTACAGTGTGCAAACAGACTCTGCATCAGACAGTGGATCAGGCACATGATGTTGCACGCTTCAGTGTTAAGATGGAATGACAATGTTTGTTTAGCTGCAGCTTCTTAAATCCTCCATCCAAACATGGAAATCTGTGCAAACGTACAAATTCTAAGGCCTTTCTCAAAACCTGGGGTTGGCCTGGAGAGTTTAAATGCACTCCCTTGTTCAGTTGCTCACCTACGACTTACAGTAAGCGCATACTTCT